CTTGTTCACCTACCTTGAAAGCCGACCAAAATCTCTTCTATACATCGCGTTGTTTAAAAGATAAAAGAGGAATAAGCCACAAAATGTGCTGAATATTTCACGAGACAATTCAATATGGCTTCCGATACGCTGTCCACTTAAAAAAATTGTGTATGCCTCATGAAAAGTCTTAAAAATAGGCCTGAGAACCTCGAAACGATGACAGATTCTGTCCGACTCCGTCCGTTGTTTTGAAAATTTTTGATCACTGGGGCGATGTTTTGATTTGTTTGTTGATAGCGGGGCTCCCGCGCGCGCGAAGCGCGCGTGGGACAGAGCCCCATACCCATGGAATATGGTCAACCTCTTTTCGTTTGGTTGTCACGTGATTGACCGAGCGTACGTACGTACGTACGTACGTACGTACGTACGTACGCGTCTACAGATTGTATGGGTGGGGTAGGGGAGACTATCAAAAGGAAGGGAGGGGTGTCTCAGGCGTGTCTTGGCAAGTCCACATCTTTAATATAGGACATTAACAATATGGTCAATTGACAGCTGTCCAAACAGGATAGCCACTGACCAGTATCCCATGACCATATCGCGGGCTCGTGTGTCAACTCATCGAGGTGACGTGATTTATTTGGAAGCTGTCCGCTGACCAGTTAACTGTTTTACTAGATCGCGAACAACGTTCAATCTCATACTTTTACTAGTTTGGGAGCACAGAAAAACTGATAATGCACACATATTGGACATCAATGTTTTGATCAATTGACAGCTGTCAAAACAGAGTACCCGCTGACCAGTATCACTTGACCGTATCGCGGGCTCAGGTGTCGACCCATCGAGGTCAAGTATTTTTTGAAGTTATCCGCTGACAAGTCAACTAGTTTTCAAGTGATCGCAGGCTCAAGTTCAATTTTTTTTCTTAATTCATATGAAATATGTTGTGTTTATGTGCTGCACAATTAAAATTTTGATTGCAAACTGACCTCGGACGTGAAAATTCAGCCAGCTGTTACAGGCAGGGAAGACAGTTGCTTTTGTTTTTTCTCCCAATGGTCACGCGTTGGTCACGCTCTACGTCCAATTTTTATGCTCTGATTGGTCAAAATTTGACAGGTGAGTTCATGCGCAAAATTTATGCAGCATCTTGAATCTTGTTTACTTTAACAGCTGAAGCTGACAGAGTTTTGTGTCAACTTGTGATGTTTTTAACTGTCTTTTTCCACTGGATGTACAAAATGAAATTCAGCTGCTATCAGGAGTCTTCTGTTACTCATGGCTAGTTTGTTTATTGGGTTTTTGGTTGAGAAAACGTCGCTTGTCAAAGTCGGAAATCCGATTTCGGATGGCATCGTTTTCGTTTTCACCTTGCTTGATGCGTAAGAGGATTGCAAAGTCTGAAGCGATACTGGCTTTACCTGATAACTTTCAGGAGCTGCATCTCGAATGGTAAGCCAGAGAAATTATTCTATTTCATGTTTGTTTTTTGTATCTAATTTAATGAAGTGGAGCGTAGTTTATGCGGGAATTTAGTTTATGCGCGTTTGTAAGATTTGAGACAACGATCTCACCGAGTATCTGGTTTGATATAATCTTACAGAACTTTAAAAAGCCTTTAGACAGTTTCTCACCGCAAATAGAAAGAAAATGTTCCAAAGAATCTTTAGTTATAATTCTAGCCGGAAAAGAAAGCTTTGAGCGATTTTCTTGCCTCGAGTTCGTCTTTGAAAAAACAAACACCGGTAAGCTGGCTTAAAACATAAACTTCAGCAAACTTAAGCTTGAAGCTTGAAGATTCAGAATATTTAGGGACACTTTAATACTTGTCTTCCTGAATGAAAATTGTTGTCTCTGTTTATGTTTCACCGAATTATATCTCTTTTATTGATTGTTAGTAGTCTCTCTTGCAATTTTAATCGCTATGCCGATTGTTTTCAGTCGTTCAGTGAACATCGCTTGCAGGAGTTCTCAAAATGCCGCGCGTTAAACCATCAAATAAAAAATAAACATGATAAATTCTTTATTATCTTGGAGCGTAACTCTGTTAATGTTCATTCAAACACTCGCTACAGCTCGCACTACAAAAGTGAGAACCGGATGGCCGTATAGGTGATTTTGGAAAATTTTTTTAACAGTTTATGAATATTGAATGAGAGCAATTTGTATTGTGAAATACTGCTTTCTGTCCATGGTATAAAAGGTTGGTTTACACGCACCCAGATTTGTTGGCAAGATTTTGCAAAGTAAACTTGTCGAACGCCAAAACGTTGGCCTGGTTTTTTTTCTAAGCCTAATTGATCTACGGTGATCAATAGCCATTACGGCTCTTAAATGTGATAAAAGATGATTACCAGTTTTTGAGTGTACATATGAGGCTATCAACTCGATGTAAGATTTGGTTCACTCTTGGGCTGTTTGCAAATTATTTTTCTCTAAAATCAGGTAGCCTTTCCCTCAAAAGTCACATAAATGTGCTCTAAAGTTAACTGAATTGTGGAATTCGAATACAAGTTTATTGTTTAATTTAAATTATAAATTTACTAATGGGAGCCTCGCTTTTAGCCCTGGCTAAATCTATATATTAAACACAAGCACGCCTTCTCATTGGTTGAAAAGTGTCGCGTGACCAGTTGGCCCTGTCCTTAAATTTAGGGATATTCCGGACTTTTATCCAACGATGATTTGATCCAAGACCAGTGATTGGTTCAAGCGTTACACGTGATCACATGATCGAGACAAATGATTGGTTGAGCAAAACAAATGATGTATGAGATCAGCGTGACCATGTCACGGTGCTGCACAACATGCGCTTTAGTTTTACGAAATGTGACTTAAATACAGCTGCAGCCGAAAAGATCCTGACAAAGTGTCAATAATGTTGCTGAACGAGCAGAGGTTGATGAAGAAGACGACACAGAAGATAGTATAAATTGGATTGTAGCTTTGGTGTTGAATCAATATTGATAGTTGCCGCTTCATCGTAGCATAAGGATTTTGACAGCTAAACCGCTTGAGATATAGATCGGTCAGTACCCGATCATTGTAGCTTTTTATTTGCTCGATATTTGTGGTTTTGTGCCTTTCTTAATTTGCAACGCTGAAGCGAATCGGTAAACTTGTGTTAGTATTTTTACTCAGTTGTCTGCTTCACAGCCAAGTGACTCGAAATAAGCTGTGTAATTTTACTCACTATAAAGGGTAACAGGATTTACCTTACTCAGCGAGTAAAGGGTTTACTCGCATGTTTTGATCATAGTCATTTTACTCAGAATAGTGAGTTGTTATAACTCTCTCTGAGGGGTAAAAAAGAGCTAACTCATATTGTGAGTAATTTTACTCAATAAAATGAGTAAAATGAGACACTTTACTCAAAATTGAGTTACGTTAACTCATTTGTAAAAATGCTTTTTTCTCTAGAATACTCCAGGAGGGTAGAAAGAGGTCAAAAGAAGGGCTTTGGAATAGACGCCTTTTAGTCTAACCTGGAACTCAGTAACTCACGCATGTCAATGAGATATATATTAACCCCTACTTCTCTTAGAAGCGACACCGGCATGCCTAGCAGATGGCGGAGAAATTTATGGACAATCAGAAGGAGGCATTCAGTTTTATTTTGGTCAGAACATTAGGCTAAGTAGCAAATCTCTTCGCACTTTGAACTAAGTACATGTAACTGTGCAGATTAAATTGTTAGAGCTATATAGACATACTCTTTGTGAAAATATTAATTTTAATTAAATATCAATGAATTAGGCAGAAAATCGATCGCTGAAGGTACAACATGCGCGCTGGCAACAAGGCCCAGAACATGAGAACGATTAAATTTGTTTAAAATAGCATTGTCAGCTACAAGTTTCCTCTTACACTTTTGTAAAATAGTTCTTCAGTTCTCTTTGTTTCGAATAAATAATGAAGGAAGTCGGAAAGGCTTCATTTCAAACAGTTTATTATTGAACTGGCATCGATTATAGAAATAAGCTTCTGAATAAGTCCACTCTTTGGACATTTTGTTTGAACCGGGGAAACATGTATTTGTTGCGAAACTACATTTTCGCCAAGTGCGACTACCACGGAACCATTTTTTGCGACATGGCAAAAAAATTCCGCTGTAGCAAGAAGAATTTTTACCCAATTTACAATAAATAGTATATACGTGCACAGCATAATTCGCTTCCGCAAGACATGTTTCTTGCGCGACTTAGTAAGGAGACTTTTAATTTCGGAACATTTTTGCCACGAATATCATGATCTGGTGAGGGGATCAGTTTGAAACTCTTTGAGATTTAAGCCATAGTAATAAAAAGGTGGCAAAGAACTTGAAAAGAAATCAGTTCATAGAGAGTACGATTACTCTAAGTAATAAACGTGTATCATATGTAAATATAGTAAAACAGCACAGTAAAACTTGCAGGCGATGCCATCAATCTGAATGGAATATTAAAAAAAAGGAGAATGAAACTGATTAGCAAGGACTAGTGAAAACAAACGAGCGAAAAATGTTATTTTATTTTACGAGGCACTCGGCCTCAATTATTTTTCAGGTAATATTCAATTTACATTACTGAGTTCCTGACAACAAGGTGACGTGTATGTTTAAAATGTGTGTGCTCAAAAAAGAGCCATGTCTGGTGAAATATGATAATTTATCGATCGTCTTACTCAGCCGGTCAGTTTTTTCGAGGGGGCTATGGTCCTTGAAATATGACTTTTTACAGCACAATAAAAAGACTTCAGACGATCCAGTATATTGAGTTATTAAAACGAATTTTAAAAAAAGAAAAACAGACTTTCTACATTTACTTCAGTTTTCCGAAGAGCATTAAAATAATTTTGGATCTTTTTTTCAGAAACACGAATGAAATTCAAGTCATGATGGCAGGTCATATGAATGAATAAAATATGAAGGACCCCTAAGATATTACGTCATTTTCTGTTGAAGCAAGTTCTTGTTTTTGCTTGTCCTTGAATAAACAAAAACGTCCCTCTTGTAAGAAGCAATTCACTGGCACTGAACTCATTCTGTATACTTGTTTCACAAGGTAAGCTCAGAAGTGAAAAGATGATGAAGTTCGTTTTTATGCTTCCTCTTATTTGTGCCTGCTTGTATTCTTCTCGAGCGGGAAGCCCAACTCAAAAACAGGTAAGGCAGTCGTCAGGTTTGTTCATTTCTGAAAAAAATACCTTTTACTACGCATTTTGCGAACCTTTTCAATAGTGGGCTGAAAGCCTCGGCTTTCTCTTAATAATTCACAGAAACCTCAAACGTGTAAATGAAAGAATAGTCATCTTCACAGACACAGGAGTTCGCTTAACCTCTGGTTTGCAAGCGTGTTTTCTGTTTGCCGGATTTATCACCGCCAGCAACACCAGAAAAAGAGGAAAAGAAATATTCTGATTGGTCTATTCTATGTTATATATTTGATGATGGTTGCCAGCTTATAGCTTCATTTTTCTCGACGCGTGATAGGAAACGTAATTGAGTCAGAGAGCGAAAAGCTATTGTAGATGCCCATCTATGTACCTCTAATTTGGGACTTTAATGCGGTTGTTTCTTTTATACTAAAAAACGGAAATATTTCGATTTTCCAATTTATCCTACAGAATATTTGTGCCTCTCCAGGTGTGCCAATCAACATCACTGTTGAAGGAAAAGGAGGTGAAAAGGTGCGTATAAAGCCCATTTCACTTGAGTTACGTAGCTAATAGCAAGTGGAAGTTTCATTCATTAATGTGATATCTCCCGTTTTTAGGGAGAAAAAGGTGAAAAAGGGGACACTGGAACCAAAGGCGATAAAGGAATACCATGCCAATGTTCTTTACAGGTAACAAAAAGACAGTTTTTAAAAAGTTTGTAATTATTCATAAGTTTGAATACTATTGTACAGTGTTATGATTTTCATTTATTCATTAGTTCTGATCAGTGAACCTTCTGTCCGTTACTTAATCTACTGCTGAGTTGAGGTTGCAAGAAGTCTACCCGCAATTTCATGGCGTGTTTCGTTTCAGTTAGGCACGTGTCAAATTGCATTTGTCCGTCTTCAAGCTGAAGTCTCAATATTAAATAAGACTCTCAATTACTGCTAATAGCTAAAATTTTTAATCTTTGGTCCAGTTCTCTTGATTCTTAGGTTTCAACCAAAACCTTAAACGTTTTTTCTTCTTATCGGTTCAGCAATCAGCTTTTACTAATGTTTTTTTTTTTTCATCCTAAGTATAAATTGCATCATCAGTGTATATTCTTTTTTCTGTTTTAGGATCCAAAAAAGCCATCTGCTCATATCGAATCCGTCAATAAGGGGCCAGTCTGGTACCCAGCCAACACAGGTAATTTGTTCGTTCAGGTGTTTTTTTATTTTCGGCAAATAACTACGATAATTTAAAAAGCCAAGGCAGGAAAATATCCCAGACTTATTTCGGGCTATACTTTGGAGAAAAACTTGTTTTGTAGTCACCTAGGCCGGTTGGTTTAAAGCAGTATTACTCACCACTCCTCCAAAAAGCAAAAAAAAACAAAAAAAAAAGAGAGAAGAAGAAGCCAAGGTGTTTTGGGGGAGGGGTGAGATCCATCCACCCCTCTTTTAGGTTAGGACGGTGGGTTGAAGACTAAGGGTATGACCTTATAAATTAGTTGCGTAGTTACATTACAAACTGACTGAAATGACTCCTGGGTTCAAACCTTTCACAGTTTGACTGAAATGTGTTCATAATTTGTTTCGTAGTGATCAAGGATTGGTCGGTCAGTGCTCCGTACAGCTATCTTGCAGGCGGTATGACGTACCAAGACGGAAAACTGACAGTTCCTACCCCAGGGCGGTACTACATCTACGCTCAAATTTACTACCACAACAGTGGACGAGTCTTTGTTAAGGTTAACAACAAACCAATCACGATGATGCAGCCACCAACAAGTGGTAAAGAGGCAGGTAGCTTGTACGCTGGTGGGGTGTTCAACCTGAAGGCTGGTGACGTCATCGCGTTGACTTCTTACCATTATCCTGATAGAAATGGCGCCAAAATTTACATGTACACCCATCACAGTTACTTTGGCGCATTTTTGATCTGAGCTTTTTTTTGTTACTTGAAGTAAAATAAGCATTGCCATCGGGGGGCAAATACAACATCACCTGATAAATTAAGGGATGTAAGTTTGAAAAGGCTACCTCACTTCTAATTCAGAGTGACACGTTTTGTAGGAGACATTCTAGATTGTGGTCTCATGGTTTAGTACCGCTAGGTACATTACTGTTATTAACTAAACAGGTTTGATGTTGAAATAAGCGCAGATAAGGCCATATATTTGTTGTTCACTGACTAAATTTTTGCAAATTTTTAAAGGTTTAAAAACACGGGCATGTTGTAATTTTCGGATAACTTTCCACTGACAGTAGAGGAAAGTGGAGGCCAATAAGGCTTATGAAAAGAACAAAAGGCGACTGATATTCCAAAATTTAGCTTTACAATAATACTCCAATTAGCAACAAGTACTTTCGGCCCCCAATTGGTTTTGACGGACCCCGGACAAGCATGATTGGGAAAACGATTCGCTGAAAAAAGCACGATTAAAATAAGCAGTCACAGTAATTTGGTTGCCCCTGTAACCCTGAAAGAACTATAGGGACAACTTTAAGAACTCGTGTTCGTGCATTGTAAATTAAACTGGAATTTAGAGTGCTGACTTTTGAGGAGAGAAGTTCCTACTTCCTAGGTCTCGCTTTTCTCCGCGGCTAATCCCCGTTCGAGATATAGTTTGTAAGCCGGCTGTTCGTGTCAAATGCGTGAGTCGATAGGTTTTCAGAGAGGCGTATAAGGCTTCAAGATTGAAATCATCCGTAACCAATCAAGTCTCGATATTCTTCTAAATTTTGACTAGAATTTTGTTCAACTTAACGAGAAACAATGAAACGTTTTGATAAGGAGTGGGGCGGGGGAAAGGGGGTACTATACAATTATGTTTTGTGCGCGAGGGACAGTAATTTCTACAAACAGTGGTTTAGGAATGTCAAGATCGGAAAAGGTGCAATCAGGGCGACTTCTAAATTCAAGATTGTTTCTTAAATAAAGGCCAACACTACTGCTAGAAACGTTTGAAATTCCAGGGTTGAAGAAGGTACATCCTAAAATATTGAGTAAGCCGTGTTTTTAGACTTTTCAATATTTAGACAGGCTTTTGAAATTCCAACAACAGAAAGAGGATTACAACATAAGAATCAGATAACTTTCCTAATGTCTGAATATGGAATTACAAGAGTCATGTAAGCTGATCATGAAGCCAAGGAACAGTATTTTGGCATTTGGTTGGTTTGGACTAGGAAACGTGTTTGTCGTATATTTTTGCCAAACGTGACTAAAGTAACGAAGCATCTTCTATAACGGAAGAAAAAGTTCACCAATTCATAAAACGATAGAAACCATCTTGAAGCTTAGCGATGAAAAATACGGTTCTTAACTTTTTTTAGACTTTGGATTGTACAGAATTAAAATTAAGTTTTCATTGAATTTTCACAGTTTATTGAGAGTAAATTTTCTCTGAATTGAAACTAAAACGAAATTGCCATGGAATTAAACTTGACTGCCAATGAATTATATAATGTTACATTTGGCATCTAAACTGGTGCTTTAGTTCTAGTACGTTCTGGACGTCCTTCAGTGTTTTACTGGGTGAAGTTCTAATTTAGGATCCAAAGAAGCCGTCTGCCTATATGGAAGCCATTCGATTTGTTACCCATCAAACACAGGTACTTCAAGTTCACCGCAATTCGGCGAAGTTTGCATTTAATTTTGTTAAACCTGAAAACTTGAAAGAAACACTGTATCCACAAGATCAGAGTTACGCTCTTTTAAAAACGCAGGAAAGAGGAAAAAGGAAAAAAAGAATTATATTTGAAGTAAATGAATGTTGTCACGCGATCTCATTAATCTCTGAAAATCGCTATTTTGCTTCGTAGTGACCGAGAACTCCTTCCTACCAAGGACTTAGGGGATACTAGGATATCGTGGGGGTATTGGGTGAACTTATAAGTATGTTTCCAAAACTGTCAAGACAGATTACGTTGATCTGTAAAATCACGTTGATGTTGATACCTTGCTTCGTAGTGATCAAGGACTGATCGGTCAGTGCTCCGTACAGTCATCTTGAACCAAAAACGAGAAGTCCATGATAGACTACTGCAAAGCTGATTCAGAACAACGTGTATTGTTTTTATTCATAACAATATTTCGGCTGGCCATTCCAGCCTTCTTCAGGTTTACAGATGTTACTGAGCTTATGTAGGAATCACAATATTATATAGACGGAGAATGTCGCAATAAAAATTGTTTAACCCATTTGCCCCTGAAGATTTTGCCGAAAAACACGTTTTGAAGCTAGTCGAGTGGTTTTCTGGTCACTGTCGTGCTATTAAGAGCTAAAACTTACAACAAAGCCGTTTACAGGTCGTACTTCGCGGTCTTCTGATCCAGATGCATAATATCAGCTTGCGAAGTTCAGGCATGCCCAGAAAGCAAAATAGTGACACAGCAGTCTTCGTTCATCCTCGCGAAACGTCCCTCAGCGGCGATGAACGAGGAGAAACGGGTTTTGTAACACGTGAATGACTATCCTCAAAGTGCCTTCAGTATTCAATTTCAGTTGAATTTCAATTCAATGGTTGCCTTTACACTAGAATGTTAAGTACTTAAGAGCGGATGTCAGTAAATATCGACCAGAGGTCTACAAAAGTGAAAAATCGAAAATTCTCAAAAAAATTCACAAAGTAGCACTAGGTAAGCTATTAACACAAATGTAATTTTTACTTCGATCCGATAATTATGTTCCACGTACGGGGGGTTATTGGTTTCGCGGCTCTCGGACCGGGTTTTCCAGGCCCGAGACCATGTGTCGCAAAAAAAATCGTTTTAAAATTCAAATCCATTGTAATGCGGACAACAAATAACTTATTCAGAAGAGTACTTAATTGCACACATTCTAAGTGGTTATTTACTCAGTTTGAACGAAAGTGTAATATTTTGGAGATTTTTCATTATTTTCAATATTTTGAACGTTTTCGTTCAATGAAAAAATGGCAAATTTCAAAGCCCAAAATCGTCGACTGGTACCTCGATTTCAGTAACGAGTCTTATACCACGTTAAAGAGCGTTATCTCTTCTTTCAAAATCTGTTTCAAAACTACGGGCAACTTAAAAGAAAATGTTTGAGGCCAAAATATACTAGTAGTATTTTTCTGAAATTTGAGCTTTCCAGACATGGCGGGCCGATGCTAAAAACTTGGAAATATACAGTAAGAAATCAGTTTGAGCAATAGTGGTTTCATGTTATCAGCTTTCAGAAACCAAGATCGAAGTAAAAATTACATTTATGTTAATAGCTTACCTAGCGCTACTTTGTGAATGTTTTTGAGAATTTTCGATTTTTCACTTTTGTAGACCTCTGGTCGATATTTACTGACATCCGCTCTTAATTACTTAGCCAAAAATGCGTGTGTGAAGGCCTAAATATAATCTCAAGTAACTTTACTTTTCATCTCATTGAAGTCGGAAAGTTGAAACTATTCAAAAAAAGTTTCAAGTCACTTGAAAACCATCCTTTTAACTTGCGGTAAAAATCTGTCGTCGGGGCACATTGCCAAGTGCGACCGCAAGTTTTCAAGTTGGAAAAACTTTGAAAATCGCAAAAAAAACATCAAAGACGCCGTATTGCTTATGTGGGGCAGGCAGATTTTGGAAAACTCGAGCTAAACAATAGGAATCACGGCGGTAAGTGTCAGCACTTGTCAGCGAAACGTGACCAATTTGAAACAATCGTAGAAATTTTCTGACAAAGACCTTTGCGCTTTCGTTGTGGGCTACCACTACTTTTCGCCATTTTAACGTTTTTGTGAAAACTCTCTACGGGCGAACAATTCATAAGCTTGTAATCCTTCGCTATTTCAACGTTTTTACGGGAACTCTTTACTGGCGAGCCAGTTATAGTCTTCTCCAAGCTAAATGCTGTCTTTGCAGCCAAGCACTTTATTTTCTTTATTTCTCCCATCCTCCTGAAACTGGGAAAGGACGAAAATGATCCTACGCCAAATGATCGGACTACGAAGAGATAATGTTCTCTGGTATCTGGCCTACTTTAGTTCTCAATGTGTTAAAAACAACGACAATTAACTCCCACTAGTAAATACTAGTGCGACCCTCGATTTTCCGGTTGCGGTTTCGAATTTTCGTGGTTTTTCAGCCGGCAAAGATGAAAGCTTTTCCCAAGTGCGACCCATGCTTAGCGAACTTGCAGTTTCTAAGCCGTGAGAAAGGCGAAGCATGTTAATCAATCTTAATTATGTTGCGTAGGAAAATAGGCTTAAGAAAACCCGAAATAAGAAAGATAGGTTGTGGGCGAAGCTTTCTTTTACTTACAGAATTTAAAATTTACTTGTCTTGAAATATTTCTTAGCTTATTTAGACTCTAGGGTAAAGGCTACCAATATAATGGTAATTCACACTTTGAACTTGATGTGCGGGAATAAAACAAAAGAAATCATCTTAAAGCTGGGGGTTGAAAACCTGGCCGGGAGTACGATTCTTAATTAATTTTGATCCAGAGCCTCTTCAATCATATGCATCATAGCGTTAAAATCAAAGAGCTGTTATGTCCTCTTCCTCATTTAGTGTGCATTCACGATCGGTTCATTGAATTTAAATTGATTAGAAATTTTATACTACTACATGAGAAACTTCTGCAATTTGATTGGCTTAGGGCAGTGGTATTTCAGCTTAATTTGAAATACCTACATGTGAAAATTACAGAACTTTTGTGGGTAGTATCCTTCCTCTAGAATACTCCAGGAGGGTAGAAAGAGGTCAAAAGAAGGGCTTTGGAATAGACGCCTTTTAGTCTAACCTGGAACTCAGTAACTCACGCATGTCAATGAGATATATATCAACCCCTACTTCTCTTCGAAGCGACACCGGCATGCCTAGCAGATGGCGGAGAAATTTATGGACAATCAGAAGGAGGCATTCAGTTTCATTTTGGTCAGAACATTAAGCTAAGTAGCAAATCTCTTCGCACTTTGAACTAAGTACATGTAACTGTGCAGATTAAATTGTTAGAGCTATATAGACATACTCCTTGTGAAAATATTAATTTTAATCAAATATCAATGAATTAGGCAGAAAATCGATCGCTGAAGGTACAACATGCGCGCTGGCAACAAGACCCAGAACATGAGAA